TGCAGGTTGAGTGTTAGAGCTTGGACAGGCCGTGTTGGGTGGAGATAGGATAGTGGGTGAGGTAATAGTGGTGCTGGGGTTTTGTGTGGGTTGAATTTCAGAAGTGTGAGAGAAGTTGTTGATTACAGTAATGGTAGAGTAAGGGGTTAGAAGGAGTGGCGGGTGCTATTTTTCTTGTGAGCGTGTTGGTTTTTGGTAGGCGTGGAGGAGATGTGATAAGGAAATTGAGCTTCGTAAAAAAACACGTGATGAGAGGTTAACGACTTGCCTGTGCTTATGTTGTAACATTTATACCCTTTATGTTGAGGTGAATAGCCAAGAAAGATGCACTCGTGAGATCGAGGTGCAAATTTGTTGGGGGCATATGGTTTCATCTAAGGAAAGCATAAGCTGCCGAATGTGCGGAGGTGGGAATATGAGGGAGATTTGCCATGTAGCCGTTGGAACGGAATCTGAAGCGAGATGGATTTCGAAGGAAGGCGGTTGATGAGATAGTGTGCAATGGATATAGCGTCAACCCAAAATTTGTGCGGTAGGTTGGATGCGTGAATAAGGGCTCGAGTTAGTTCAAGAAGGTGCCTGTGTTTGTGTTCGGCGAGCCCATTTTGTTACGGCATGTGAGGACAGGAGAACTGTTGGCTTATGCCACATTCTTGGAGGAAGGCTTTGAATGAGGTACCGATGAATTCACCTCCGCCATCCGACCGGAGAGTTTTGGGTGTGGTGTTAAATTGTGTTTTAATGTGATTACATAATGTTTTCAATTTCAATAGCACTTCTTGTTTAGTGTACATGAAGTAGATCCAAGAGAAGCACGTATAATCGTCAACAAAGATGATATAGTAGCGAAATCCATCGACAGAAGGTTACGGTGTCGGTCCCCAAACGTGAGTATGAAGTAATTCAAAAGGAGCAGTGGTAATGGAAAAACTTTTATCAAAAACTTGCTTGTGGCTTTTGGCCACATTACAAGACAAACAAACAAAGGAAGAAGGCACGGTAGAGATTTTCAAAAAACATTGAGCAAGAACCGAAGTGATGTGGTTGTGCGGATGTCCTAACCGAGCATGCCATATGAGAGAAGCGTTAGTGGTAGCAGAGAGGGCTATCGGGTTGGTGTCCGGAGAGACTTGAATTTGATAGAGGCCTTTATGAAGACGCCCATGAAGCAGTGGACGCTGGTCCTGTATATCCTTAATAATAAAACCATGATCATCAAACGTTATAGAAACAGAGTTATCTGTTGTAAGCTTAGAAACAGATAACAGATTATGCGTTAATTTTGGGACATGAAGGAGATTGTGAAGACGAAGCTTACGAGATGTGTCGGGTAGAGGAAGAAGTCCTTGACCTACATTTTGGATGGGCAGTGAAGTACCATTGGCGACGGAGATGGAGTCGAATCCTTGGTAGTGTGCGGGGTACTGAATATTCTGAACGTCTGGTGTTAGATGGGTGGAAGCTCCCGAGTCGACGATCCAATCTTGCGGAGGGGTAGAGGTAGGGTTCGCAAGAAGTGCCCGAGGTTGGCGAGGATTGGTGGGAGCGTATTTGAAATTGCACCTATGCCAACAGTTGAGGGCGACGTGTCCGATCTTGTTGCAAATTTGGCAAGTCGGTCGTGCGGTAGTGGTGGCAGCAGACGGCGTATTCTGATAGACCGGCGTAGTTGGGTTGTTCGGCGAGTTCTTTGGCTTGTTGAATCTTTTGTAGTTGTGCCCACGATTTTGGGTATTAGAGGTGGCGTAGAGAGCAGTAGCCTCCGTTGTTGCCTGCTGATCTTGAAGAATATGTTGTTGAAGATGGATTTCTTCATTGCAGAGAAGTGCATAGAAGGTATCAAGATCAATAGGCTGGAGAGAATTGCGAAAATTGGATTTGAAAGAATTGAATGTGGGTGGAAAGTCATTCAAGATATGAAGGATGATGTCCTACAGATCGATCTTGGATCCGGAGGCGGAAATGTTATCAAAAAGAGATTTAATCTTGGTAAGATATTGTCGGATGGATTGATCCTTCATGCAGATGTGATATAGTTTGTTTTTAAGTTGAATGACACGCGATCTGCTCGACGGTTGAAGACGTCTTTCAAGAATGGACCATGTCTCGTGTGTGGTCTTGGAAGTGATAATATAGGGAATAATTTCTTGGGAGATAGTAGAGAAAAGGGCTGAAAGAAGGTTACTATCAATCATTTGCCAGTTGGTGTGGTCGGCGGAGGCGGTGTCGTCGGGAGCTATGGTTGTGCCATTGAGATGGCCGGCGAAACCGTTGGCTGTGAACTGTTGCTGAAGTTGCATCCTCCATATCGTGTAGTTGTCCAACGTGAGTGAATACGGTACCACATTCTTGAGATTCGAAACAAGAAATTTGAGATGTTGGGGTATTGAAAGTGGGTTGGTGTTGTTTCCGGTCTGGGTGGTGGAGGAGGAAGGAGGAGGGGGAGAGATGTCGGAATCTTGATCTCCCCTCATGGCTCTTGATACCATGAGAGATTGGCAAGAGACGGACAGCCCAGAGAGAGAAAGTAGAAATGGAAAATAACATTCATACATGAAACTGTAATACAGAGACGGTATTTAATACCGTGTAAATGGCAGATATGTAATAAACTAAGTACAAGTGGTTTAATTATCCTAATAAAATCATATCGGTTTGAGTCTGAGTCGGACCCTAACAAAACTTGAGCTATATGATAAACAAATCCGATTCAAATCAAACATATTCATATTAAAATCTAATTCACCAGCTCAAATTGGCACTACTATACAAAAACGTTAAGAAAAAGTAATTGAGAATCGTGCGTTTTATCTACCACATGACAGTGTTGAAAGTTTGGTTAAAAAATTATTCCGTTTTTTCTGTGGGGATCTATGCAAAGTGCAAAATAATTGCACAGTTTCTGTAACAAATATATAATTTTTATATTGTAATGAGTGTTGAAGTAAGAGATTCGATATATGATATTGAGCATAATATTGCATAAACGTTTATATCTGTATCTAATGCACTCAAGCTTAGTTTCAATCCCATCATAATTTTTTTAGTTTTAATAATTTTGATAATTTCATAAGTTTCTATTGCTATAAAATATTTTTATAAATATATTTAAGACATTAAATAAAGATAATTATCTAATATGAGTGAAATAGTAATACATATGAAATTTATTTGGAACATAATTTAGTGGCGAAGCCAGTAACTTTTCATTGAGTGAGCCTTTTTCTTTAATCCTCTGCATGCATTACTAAAACATTTCTCCATAAAACATTTCTCCATAATCTTTGTGCAAAGTGAAACCACCTAAAACATACAAAACTCATGTAATATAAGTTGTTATAAATAGGAACATAATTTAATCGCGAAGCCAGAAACTTTAAAGCATTTCTCCATAATCTTTGTGCAAAGTGAAACCACCTAAAACATACAAAACTCATGTAATATAAGTTGTTATAAATAAAAAACTAAAAATAGTGAAACAAAGTGTAGAACAAATTTTTTTTCCTCAACAAAAAACTAAAGAATAAAAATAGTAACTTATAACTTAAATACAAGAAATGGTAAAATGAATCACAAAAGCCGTAACTAAAGATTTTGGTCTTATACTCTTATATACAAAATTAAAACAACAACTAAATAGAAATGGTAAAATGAATTACAAGAAAATTGAAATTTTGAGAACTTCTTACCTTCAGCACTTCAAGTATTGGGGACGATAGAAGACAATTTTTTGGACTAAGCATGATTAGAGCCTTAATTACGGAATTAAGCATTATTTTTTAAAAAATTAAAAGTATGTATAATCGCCCGTTCAATCGGCGATTTATAATTAACTTAAGTCGCCCGTTAGACGGGCGACTTTGCCCTTTTTAAAATGAAAGGCTGAAGCCCTTCTCCCTGATGCCTGTTTCGTTTGCCCTCGCCGATCTTGCCGCAAGCTGACCGTTCACCGCCGGATTTCGACATTTTGGGTAAGTTTTTATGGATTTTTTTGTTTTAAATTTATATTTATTTATTCATTTCGTTAATAGAAGGTAGATTAAGGAAAAAGAAAAAAGAAAATGCACCGTGTAAAAGTGTAGAATGAAGTGATTTTAGGTGATGAGCTATGATTTTGAAACTTTAACTTAAGAAGTAATTTAGGAAGTAATAGATTCATATACTTGTTGCTAGTGCATTCAGATCTACTTGATTTGGCTAGATTTGTTGGTTATTTTTGTGTTTGTGATCATGCTTGTAATTGTTAATTAATTAAAAAAATTATCCTTATATTTGAAAGAGGACCTGCAAGGTTAGTAATAAGAAGAATAGAGCAGAAAGAAGGGAAGAAGAAAGTTAGGGAATGGCTGTAGTATTCTTCATTAAGGCTCATTGTAATACACCCTGTTTCTTATATAGAATGTTCACTGAGAGTATGGCAGAGCCGTTGAGCCGTTGGTTGCTGGAGCAGGGGTATCATGATCTGCTCAGGTGTCAGTTATATGCGGTAGTGGACACAGCGGTGAGATGAGTTCGCGAGAGTCTGATGGAGTACGTTAACATCCCCCCGCAAATTGATCAGGGAGCTTTGCCACTGTCAATTTGGATCGCAGGTCAGTGAATCTGTGACCAGTGAGCGGCTTAGTGAGAATGTCGGCCGGTTGATCAACCGAGGCAATGTGAGAGACTGTGATTGCCTTACGATCAATGTGATCACTGATAAAGTGGTGATCAATCTCTATGTGTTTGGTTCTAGCGTGAAAAACAGGGTTGTTGGCAAGGGCAATGGCAGAGACATTGTCGCAAAAGATGGGTGTTGGAGTATCTTGTATGAGCTGAAAGTCTTGAAGAAGGCGACGAAGCCATATGACATCAGAGGTTGCAGCCGCTAGCGCCCTATACTCAGCCTCAGTGGAGGATTTAGCGACGGTGGATTGTTTCTTAGCACTCCAGGAGATGAGATTCAGTCCTAAGAAGGAACAGAATCCAGTAACAGATTTGCGATCAATTGGGTTGGCCGCCTAGTCGGCGTCGGAGAAGGTAGTAAGCACCAGTGGTCCTGAAGTAAGTGGTATGCCATAGTTTTGAGTGCCTTTAACGTAGCGCAGAAGACGTTTCAGACGTTTGAAGTCTGTGTTGGTCGGAGAGTGCATATGTTGGCATACAACATTTGTAGCATAGGCTATGTCGGGTCTGGTCACCGTGAGGTACTGGAGAGACCCTGCGAGCTGCCGGTAGAGAGTGACATTGTCGAACAGGTCATTGTCCGAAGAAAGCTTGGAGTCTCTTGGGGAGATAGGGGTGTTCACCGATTTGGAGGATTCCATTCCAGCGGAATGCAGTAGATCTCTTGCGTAATGGGTCTGATGAAGAAACAGCCCGGTGTTGGTGTGTAGAACCTGAATTCCAAGAAAGAGATCAACTTGTGACATATGTTTTAATGAGAATCTCTGTTTGAGCTGAGACAGAAGGTGTTGTGTGATGTCTGGTTGATTGCCCGAGAGAAGTATGTCATCAACGTAAGCCAGTAGATATAATTGAGCCCCATTTTTGTTATAGTGCAGCATAGACGGATCCGCTTTGCTAAATTGAAAGCCAAAGTCGAGGAGGAAGGAAGTCAATTTGCGAAACCATTGACGCGGAGCCTGCTTGAGCATCACAAATGATGAATTTATCATTCCGAATGATTTGGTAGAAAATATATGTTTACGCAAAAAAATCAGAACTGCAATTTTCCTTACACGGTTGGTCAATCATGAATAATGTTCAATTTGTTGTTGTAGCGTCGAACAAATAAAAATTTACAGTTGCTTGCGTACAACATGATACTGTGCGATAAAGTGCCCTTGGCGTTTACATGCAACTTAAGCAAGCGATTGGGTGGGGTATGGAAAATAGCTACCATAAAGGGTCCACATATGTGTACGAACCCTGTTCCTCAAGCAGGTCACAGGCAATGTAATTCACAGTTCATTAGCTTCTTTATTATTCCAACTATAAGAAAACATATGGATATAAAACCTAGAGAAATTATTGGAAGAGTTGATGCAAAGTTTAACATTAAAGTTTCATATATGAAAGCATGGGATGCACGTCGAAAGGCTATTAAAGCAATCTTTGCCAGTTGGGAAGAGTATATCGATCACTGAATTTGTTCATGGAAGGTATTGTTCAAGCTATGCATGGAACAGTGTACAAAATCCAATCTTCAAGTTCAAATAGATTTCAAAGGTTGTTTTGGGCTTTCGGTCCATCTATTAGTGGTTGGAGGTTTTGCCGGCCTGTCCTTAGCCTGGATGGAACTTTTCTTTTGGGTAAGTATAGGGAAACATTACTCATTGTTGTTGAGCTTGATGCGAATAACGGGCTATTCCCATTAGCTTTTAGAATTATAGAGGCAGAGTGCAACGAATCTTGGGTCTGGTTTCTCACCATGTTACATGATTTACTCCCTGATGTTGCAAGTAGAACTAATCTTTGCATCATATCTGATCAACATTCTGGGTTGGTGTGTGGATGTCGGAAAATCTTTCATTGGGCAGCACACCATCACTGTCTTAGTCACTTAAGTGAAAACTTCAAGAAAGTGTTCGTCAAATGGGAGCATCTGATGTGGAATTTCTATGCCAGAAAATATACGTATCTGGTGATACGGATGATACATAATTATTCAATCAAAGCATGTTAGATATAATAAGAATTAAGCCTGAACTTCATCAATGGTTAGTTAAAAGGGATGTTTCAAAGTGGTCGTTGATATTTGATGGTGGATTCCGTTACGGAGTACTAATAACAAACGCCTCGGAAGCCTTTAATGGAATTTTAAAAAGAGCTCGTGGGTTACCAGTGCAAGCTCTTATTACTTCCATTTATTATAATGTTGTTCGAATGTTTGTTCGTCGACTCGAGCTTATTCAAATGGAAGAAAATCAGAGTAATAACATTTTTTCCCCATGAGTCCAAGTTAAATTAAGAAAACTTGAAAATGATGAAAGAACTATACCAAAGCCTACACGTATTAATATGCATGAGTTCCAAGTTTTTGATATGTCCTCAAGATCATATCGTGTGGATGTTACACCGGGTGGTAATAGTTTATGTAGTTGTGGGAAACCTGTTATTTATCACATGCCATGTGCTCATGTTATAAGTTGAACTGCATCAGTAAGGATAAGTCACATGGAGTTTGTTTCTAAGTATTACACAATGAAAAATTTTAAGATGACATACTTAGAAGAAGTTCACACCATACCGGATAAGGAGTACTGGCCAAATCATGATCCTGCTACTGGTTTGTTCCCCTTGAGCCCTCCAAACTTTAGAAGAAGGTCCGACAGGCCCAAGACTTCTCGATACAGAAACACAATGGATGAACGATGAACTCAAAGTACTAGAGTGTGTAGTTACTGTCATATTGTTGGGCATAATAGAACTACATGTCCGTCACGTCGTGCGAACCAAGCGTGATTTTGGTGATCTGAACCTATGTGTTTTAGTTTGTTTATGTTTAATTGTTCTCAGAATGAGGTGAGAGTGCTTGTTTAATATTACTTTGTACTTTGCTTTTAGTTGCTTAGGGGTTGTTTGGGTTAAATTTGCAAGTTATGTAATAATATACTCATGTTTGCTTTCGGTTTGGTGATGAAGAAATGAATTAAAAAATCTACACTTTCTTATTTAATTATTATAGTATATTTATCTAGAACTTTTGAGATTTTATTGAGCTTAGAGACTATAGAAAAAATGATTATAAATAATATATTACTTTAAAGGCTATAACATATATGAATGATAATAAAGAAAAATAAGATTTAAATAAGAATCAAGTATAACAAAGCAAGTTGGCATAGTTGAGTTTAGTTTATTCAAGCATACCTGTCTAGTTACTTACGAGAATGTAATCTAAAAAAGAAAAAAAAAAAGCATACCTGACTAGTCATAATTTCATCATTCACTTTATGCTTTCTTTGCCCTTTTTATTATATGAAATGATTTTTTTATGTCAAATTATAGGTATAATGGCAGAAACTCAACCTGGACGTCGAAAACATCAAGCTAAAAAACAAGTACCACAGGGAGATAAAGAGCAGCAAAATGTTCTGATGGATCTAAATCCTAGCATTACCTCATTACGTGGGTCACACAGAGCATCTCATCCGGATGAGGTATGATATGATTTAAAATATTTTGATTATAATTATTTTATTTAATTTTACTAATTCCTTAATTCTTCTTGACATTTTGGGGACAGTTTTGGAAGCTACCTCGCATCTTCTTATGGTTCATGAGTGATCAATAAACTGTCCTAGATTTATGGATGGCCTGCGAGTCTTAGGATTGTATTGTGTTAGTCAACTGCGATACATAAGGATGGATCACAACCTGCTTACATCTTTGGTTGAGCGTTGGTCACCACAGACAAACTCATTTCACTTACCTGTAGGTGAGATGAGTATTACATTACAAGATGTTGCTCTTATATTGAGCCTTTATATTGATGGGCCAGCATTGGTTGGGAACATTGTTGTAGGGCTCGGTAGACGATGGGCTAGTTGGCCGGATTGCTGTGATGATCTATTAGGGCAGCATCCTGAGAGAGATGTTGTTTATCAAGATCCATTCAACCCATGAGTCACATCAAAGTTCAGGATGGGCCAGGTACAGGCTCAGATTTGCCTACCTTTCAGATGGTTACATTGGAGCTTCTATAGGGATTCCTACTTGGACTTGAATGAGCTAGAATTTTGTCGACATGTTCGTGCGTACATTCTCTTTCCGATGGGAACTTTTCTACTCACTACAGGAAAATCACTTATTACCGGCGGAATTTTCCGGCGGCTTTCCGACGGTCACATTTCCGGCGGCTTTCCGGCGGCTTTCCGGCGGTTTTTGACGGCTTAAAATTTCCGGCGGCGGTCCGGCGGCTTTCCGACGGTTTTCCGGCGGCTAATTTCCCCGCGAAATTTTGCGACGGCTAATTTCCCGCAAAATTATCCCGCGGAATTTTCCGGCGGCTTTCCGGCGGCTTTCCGGCGGTTTTCCGGCGGCTAATTTCCCCGCGAAATTTTGCGACAGCTAATTTCCCGCAAAATTATCCCGCGGAATTTTCCGGCGGCTTTCCGGCGGTTAGTTTTCCGGCGGTTTTTTACGGCTTATTTCCTACAAAATTTTCCGGCGGCTTTCCGACGGCTAATTTCCAGATCGGCCCGGCCGATCGCCAGATCGTCCCAGGACGATCAGACCAAATTGGATCGTCCTGGACGGTTCCCAGAACTATTCTCAGGCTGATATTTTCTACAGTGCCGATCGGCCTGGACGATGTCCTCAATCGGCCTGGACAATGTGTACAGAAAATCACCTGGAGCAAAATTGGGCACATTCTGGAGCAGATTTTCCATTGATCGTCCCAGGATGATCCAGATCGTCCTGGACGATCCTGGAGCAGATTTTTGATATTACACAGGTACAGGCTCATATTTTCCTACCTTTGAGATGGTTACATTGGAGCTTCTATAGGGATTCCTACTTGGACTTGAATGAGCTGGATTTTTGTTGGCATGTTCGTGCGTACAATCTCTTTCCGATGGGAACTTATATACTCCTGGACACCTCAGGTAGTGAGATTCATTTGAGATTATTACCTTTGTTAGAGGACTTGGGGTTGTTCAGAACATATTCTTTAGGGGGAGTAGTATTAGCCCACTTGTACCGAGAACTTGCTGAGGCAACTAAGCCTAAGAGGGCCAATATTGCAGGCTGCATTCACTTGCTTCAGATTTAGTGTTGGGAGCAACTTCATGTTGGACGACCTGCACTTCATGTCCCCCTCATCATGTCAGTTTGGATGCACTTTCTGTTGGCTACAGGTAATCAATAAAAAATGCTAATAATTTTATATTATCATTTCTAATCATAACAATATAAATTTTTTTTTTGAAGGTGGAACCAAGAATTTATAAGGCAGCTCCCAACAGGTAGCCTCACAAGCTATAGAGATGAGTTAGATATACTTTTAAATAGTCATATATGTATTCTTATTAGAAATATTGAAGTTATATTTCTTAATTGATACCACTTTCAATTATTTGATTGACCAGGTGATTTGGTAGCCGTATACCACGGAAGTTCGCTCTCAGGTCGTCGATATATGCTTATTTGGAGAAGCTATATGGTTAGCTCGTGTGCCTCTTGTTTGTTGGACTCGGGTGGAGTGGCACCTCCCCGATAGAGTTGTTAGACAGTTTGGGCTTATTCCTACCATGGAGGTTCAACCTATGGAGCTCAAATTTGCACGAGTTGATGGGCGTGGTAAAGTTGATACAAATTGGATGGTCTACCACCTACCTTACATTGGATTGTGGGAAGATAGACGAGCATATATCATTGAAGGAATTACTACAAGACCTGATAGTGAACACTTCATTCACGAGTACTTATAGTGGTTTAGGTCCTGGGCGACATTATACATGTTGAAGCCACCAACAACACCACCAACTACATACTACCCCAGAGCACCATCAGAGCAATATTTGGTATGTAATATCAGTGTGTTATATACTTCATTTCTTAAGAATTATAACATTATTGACGTTTTATTTATTTTCCCTTCACTCAGCGTGATTTCTTCCTGGAGACAGAGAGGGCAGTGTTACCTATGGTTGGTTCACATGACTACAAC